GATAAGAAAGAAAGTGGAGGAGTTCTGAAAGGGTGGCTATGCCAAGAAATTATATCATAGGCTCCTGGAGAGCAACTTTACACAGTTTGTAATCTTGCATAAGACTGTGGCTTAGCACAAGCGTCTTGGCAATGATGAAAATCTGCTTTGGGGGCAAGGCAGGCTGGTCCAGAGCACTAGCATCCATTTGGATGAAATCTAGTACTGGGGACTCTCAGGAAGGGAGGGCAACATGAAACCACTGGGTCCCAGGAATCTTGGTAGTATCTTCAGGTCCTGAAAGGTTGCAGGGAAGATGGCAGCTCTAGGCCAGAGGATTCTGGGAGGCAAATGAGGTAATAAAACTAACTGCCTGTTTCATCATTCTACATATACTAGATTAGACTATCACTATTTTAGTCTTGTTTGGGTTCTATATATACATGAAACTGTCAGTCAGTTGTTCAATCAATCTTTATATATTTATCGAGTGCTTTCAATATGCCAAGCACTTGCACTGTGCTAGGTGCTGAAGTGATGGGGGCTAACAAAAAAGACAAAAGTCCCTGCCCGTATGGACCTTACTTTCTAGTGGAAGAAGAGATGTCATAAATTGAAGACATGCATAAAATATTAGAAGGTGATCTTTGTTTTATCCTCTGGATGAAAATCAAGCAGGCTATAAAGGTGAAATGTTAGAATTTCAATCATAATGGTCAGGGCTTATTAAGAAGGTGATAGTTGAGCAGGGATGTGGAAGACGTGAACATGTGTCTGTGCAGCCACCTGAGGAAAGAGCTCCACAGGAAGAAGACAGAGCCAGTGCAAATGTTCCGAGGAAAGCAAGGCTGGCAGTTAGAGAAACAGAGAGGAGGCCGGAGTGGCTAGAGTGGTTGGAGGCAGAGTGAGATCAGAGAAATACAGACTTCTAGTCTTTGTAGGCTATGGCAAAAACGTGGCTTTTATTTTGGAATGGGGAGCTCCAGGAATAGCTTTGGCAAAAATTGACACCATTGCTGTTGACCTGGGATTGAACCAGAAAGAGGACCAAAGATGTAAGCAGGGAGATCAGTCAGGAGGCCATTTTACGATCCTGGGCAGAAGATGGTGAAGAAAGCGTGGACCAGAATGGTGGTGGTAGAGATGATGAGAGGGGATCCAACGCCAAGAAAAATATTAAAGGTAGCATCTCGAGGACTGTCTGATGTATTAGATAGAGGAGATGAAGGAAAAAAAGTCAAGGATGACTCTAAGGATTTTTGTCAGTGCAACTAGAAAAATACTACTGTTTATTAATGGAGACTATTAACAGTGGCATGAGTTGGGAAAGCAGAAATAATTAGGGGTTGAGTTTTGGATCTATAAAGTGTGTGATACCTATGAGGCATCTACATGTAGTCTGGAAGTCAGGAGAGTCTGGGCTAGAGACATGAATTTGGGCGTCATCAGAATATAGACAGTATTTGAAGGCAAGAGACTAGATGAGATCACAAGAGAGGGCCATAAAGAAGAGCCAAGGTGCAAGGACTGAGCTTGAGGCACCCCAACATCCAGAGGTCTTAGAGAAGAGGGGGAACCAGCAAAGGAGGCTGAGAAGGAACCACCAGTGAGGCAGGAGGCAAACCAGGTGGGTGTGTTGTCCCAGGAGCCAGGATACAGATGTTTGAAGGAGGAGGGGGTGGGCAGCGGGGTCAAATGCTGCTTACGCGTCAAGTTAAATAGATGCAAAATGGCCTTTGGATTTAACAATCTGGAGGTCATTGGTGACATTGACAAGCACAGTTCAACGGAGCAATGGGATAAGAAAGCCTCAGAGGAAAAGGTTTGAGAATAGAAGAGGAATTGAAGAGATTGGGTACAGATGCTTCATCTTGTCATAAAAATGTGGTCTTTTCTTTGTTTTTGAGATGGAGTCTTGCTCTGTTGCACCCAGGCTGGAGTGCAGTGGCACAATTTTGGCTCACTGCAACCTCTAGCTCCTGGGTTCAAACGATTGTCCTGCCTCAGCCTCCTAAGTAGCTGGGAATAGAGGTGCCCGCCACCACACCAGGCTAATTTTTTGTATTTTTAGTAGAGACGGTGTTTCACCACGTTAGTCAGGCTGGTCTTGAACTCCTGACCTTAGGTGATCTGCCCACCTTGGCCTCCCAAAGTGCTGGGATTACAGGCATGAGCCACCGTGCCAGGCCAAAAATTGTCTATTTTTTTTGAGCCAGTAATTCAAACTTTCAATTAATCCAAATAGGCACTGTGTCCACAACAATTTGAATAAGCCAAATTTTACTTGTGAAATCTCCCTATCAGACAAAGCACAAAACGGTTTTGTGAAATGGGTTTCAGCAATTTTAAGTCTGGAAGTCTCTTTGTTAACTGAAGGAAAACAACCACTTCCTTCAGTAAATTTGCAGCTCAAAGTATTTTAAGTTTTATCATCAAACTTCTATTTGGAACATCTCATACACACACACACACACACACACACACACACACACACACACACACCAAAATGACATTATAGTTCTCAGGTGAATATTGTACCTCATTATAAATAACATTTACTCATTCCTAATATTTCACTATTGATTTATAGTTTTTTTTTCATGTCATGGCTATCACATACTCACCTTAAATTTGTAATGAGGTTTCTCTTTCCATAGACATTTGACTGCCTTTTGTACTTGTAGACACAGGCTCATGTTGTCAACAGTTGGGCATTGGATCTCAGAAAACATTAAGCTTGGGATTAAAAGCAGGGCAGAGAAAGCTGTCAGTAACACATGCTAACCTAATGTATCTGACGAGGACAGGGACTAGTTCATATCCAGAACTGCAAGGATGCTGTGAAGTACAATGACGTGATACTTGTGATATCATTTTGCTGTAACATTAAAGCCAAGAGTCTTCTCGACCCAAGGGCAATGCCAGTTTCCCAGAAGGCTCATTTCTCAGAGCCACAGCTCCAAAGATGCCAGTGCACCCATGCTGATACTTAGTCTCATGTTATTTCTCAATTTTATGCTTAATTTGCTCCTTTTGGTTTTATGTATTTTGACACAGCCAAGTTTATGTGGGGATTTCCCCGTAGTCCTTTAAATGCTATAAAACTTTAATATAGGGAGATAAAAGCCATAATAAGCCATGCCTTCAAGCCCTCACATTTAGTTCTTTATCTGAGTTTCACAATAACCACTTTTAGATATTGATTTGGATTTCTAAGTACTTGCACTGCTTTAAATGCCCTTGTGCCTTTCCTGATCCTTCTCTCCCATCCAAATGAAAATTATATTCTACCCTTAACCTGGACATGCAACTTCCATTGACTGCACAAAATGGCATCTTTACAATTTTTAAATTATCATCATAGTGGCCAACATCGTGCATGTGAGCCAATGAAATTTAATATGGTTCAGAATAAAGCCAAGATGGATGCCCAATTCCCAATTTTAGGCATCCAACCCTGGAACGTCTTCTGGAAAAAATGAAATAATGCTCCTGGTAGGCTGTTGGGTTTGTCTGTTTTCAGCATAATTGCCATATCTCAGCTTCCTAATACCCTTAAAACCTCTGAGAGTCTTTAATGTACAAAGTTCAACAAAAACACCTTTAAAACAGATTAGTTCTAATTATGTTTAATATTGGTTTGCTGCTTTATTGAATAAACTACATTTGCTTTAAAAAAAAAAGGAAATTCACTTAACTGAATGTCAGTCACCCAAGTTTTAAGTGTACAAATGAAATGGAAACATTTATTACACAAATTTAATTACAATTCTAAGAAATAAACATGCAAATTAGACAGAGTTCAATTTGCAGATGCTAATCCCCATCCTTGTTCTTGTTCCTTCCTCCCTTGATTTTCAGTCTGTGCGGCTTCTTGATTCCTAGGGAGCCAGGCAGCCAGAGGTTTGGTTTTTCACAGTCGGAGGATCACTGTTTTAAAGAAGTGTTATATTTAGCACATCTGGCATAGTGGCAGTAAACAAACATTATAGTCTTTGTAACACTTTTGTGCAGGTGCCTTCTCCAGATTTTATTAGGGCTATGCCTTCCAAGCCTCTGCCTTCATTACACATGAAATGATCCATCTCGACTATGGAGGGGTCCCTAGACAAGTTATGAATTAATGCTTTTTAAAAACAAACTCCGATTGAGCCCATTATAGGAGAAAATTGCTATTTGCAAAATATTCTGATTCCAAGGCTTAAGTTACATTCTCTTGAGCAAGGACAACCTCTTGTATTACTTTTTATTTCCTGGAGGTTTTCCCTGGAGGCTCCCCACCCAGAAAGAGTTGCCAATTCAAGTTGTAGCAGGACCATGGCTGCTTTTTTTTTGTAGGTACGCAGCTCAGGCGGGGGCGGGCGGCGAGGGGAGAATAACTGTTTGGTCCTGCAAAGACATCTGTTTCTCATCTCCGTTTGCTGTGGCAAAGGAGAAGAAAGTCTTTTGCAAAGGGTGGGAAAGGCACAGATTTTTTTTTTTTTTAAATCAACACGCACACACAACAACAACAAAACTAAACCAAATTTAAAAAGACAAGACATCTCGGAAGGTTGCAGAATGAATATATCATTCGGCTGGAGCCGAGCCCCCAGGGTTAGGGCGGGAGCCCGAGAGCGCGTGGGGTCTGGGCTGCGGGCTGGAGCTGGGCCCGAGTGTCCCCGGGCACCGGGAGGGGAGGGGAGGAGAAGGAGGAGGGAGGGCGGGAAGGAGGCAGGGGGCGGGCTGGGGTGGGGGTGCGGGAAAGGCGCCCCGTGTGCAGCCTGAGGAGCGGCGGCGGCGGCGGGAGCAGAGGGAGGGAGGGAGAGCGGGCGCGCTTGTCATGTTCCCTCTCTCACCCTGGGGGCATCCTGCAGAACCTCTCCTCGGAAATCCACGGGGAAATGGCAAACAGGATTGACGGGTTTCACACGCTCCTCGCTAGACAGAGCCGCTCATTACCATAACCGTCTGCAGCGACGGCCGCGCAGCGCCCCAGTCGCGGCGGCGGGACCTGCCGGGACCCTCGCCCGCCGCACAACCGCGGTCACCGCCGAGCGGGCCGCCGGGCCGGGACCTGGACCTGCGCGAGTGTGCACCGGCGGCCGGGCTGGCGCCGAGCCCAGAGCGGACCAGCAGCAGCTCGAGCGCTGCGGCCGCCGCCTCCCCGCTGACCCCGCGGTAAGAGCCGGGCTGGGCGCGGGCCGCGGGGGCGGGAGGGCCGGGCCCCGCCGGGTGGAGGGCCGGGGTCCCCAGGGGCTCCTGCCCCCGCAGACGGAAACCCACGCGGCCTCCCGCGCGCCCTCCCCGCACCAGGGCTGCGCCGAGGTCACCGAGTGGACTCGCAGCGGGGCCGGGGCGGCGTGGGGGCCAAAGCACAGCTGGGCACGGAGGCGGCGCGGGCTTTTCCCGGGGCTGGCGTGCGCAGCGGCGCCTTCACCAGGGCGGGAATCGCCGCCTCCTCTAGGGCTGCTCGGGTTGCCACCCGCGCGCACCGAGACAACTCCAGGGACGGGTGGGGTCAGCAGCTCGGGTGAGACCTCAGGGTCCTCGGTGGCCGCTTAGTCCCTCATCCTCGGGGACCGGGGTCAGTAGGAGAGGTGCCCCCAGGTCCGGACGCCGCGGCGTTTGGCAGATAGGGAGGGAAGGATTGTGGATGTCAGGAGCGCGCGTTTGCAAGAAAAAGGAATTGATGCAGTAGCTGACACCTTCTGTCCCCCGCCACCTCCGCCCCCGCACCCTCCTCCCAGGCACCAAGCCGCGCTGCGGGCGGCGGCGGCTCCTCTGTCCTCAGCTCACCTCCCCGGCGGGCTGAGGCTGCTGCCCGCCTGGTCCACGCCTCCGCCTCTCTCCTCCCTTCCTCCCCTCCCGCCTCTTCGGCCCTAGCAACTTTCCGAGTGCCCGGCTGCGGCCGGAGAAGCAGAGAAGAGGCGTCCCCGCCGCCAGGTCCCACGGGCGCGGGGCGCTCCCGCAGCCGCGGGCCTCCAGCCTGTTTGGCTGGCTAGGGAGGGAGGGCCGGGCAGGCATCTGCTGCGGGCTGGAGCGCGGGGGCCCGGGCCAGCCCCGCCAGAGCCCTGCCAGCCGCCGTGAGTCATTTCCTTGGAATCCTACCTTTGGTGTTTATTTCCCTTAGAAGGAAACTTGGCTGAAAAAAAAAAAAAAAAAAAGGATAAGACATAAAGAATAATAATAGCTCTTATTCTCCAGAAGAGGCACACGGCTCCGGCACCGCAGGAAGACAACTTGCCTTTGTTCCCGGACACTTGGGGTGTTGTTTACTTTCTCCTGTGGCCAGCGGCCGGCGGGCGCTGCTGGCTACCCCAAGAGGGACTGAGGGCTGCGGCACCGACCCCCCGGGGGTGTGTCTATGCGGGAGCCAGGATATGGTTGGTGGCTGCCGCCCGCCTTCAAGAGGTCTGTCCTCCAAACCTCGGACCTCCCTTCTCCAACCTTGGGCACCCCTTCGTGCTCACTAGGCCCAGCACCTGCAGCCCCAAACACAAGACCCAGCTTCAAGCTCTTGGCCTCGCGGGGCTGCAGCTGAGAAATGTACTTTCCAGGGCAGACAGGTGTACTGCAGGGACCGGCAGAAAAGCGACATCTGTCTGTTTAGAAGGGTTGAAGGATTTTGCTCGCCCATCTAGGCCCTTCCACTACTACCACCAGGAGCCGCAGAAGCTGTTGAGATCACTTTAGGACAATGTGGAGGTCAGGGGCTTGATGCCATTTAAGGCTGGCAGCATGGATCGGGGGTGGAAATACCCCTTTACTTCCCTGCTTTCCAATGTTGGAATCAGACTGCTAACTGCTGTAATGATCTTAATCAAATGCTCTCCACTTTTCAATGACAGATGGAAGAAGAGGTGGACAAAGAATGACCTGGAGCCCCTTGTTAGAGTCAAGGTGCCGCTGATTTCGTAGCTACCCTGTTTTGTGTGTCAGCACCTCCTGTTAGCATCATAATTGCTTCGAGGAAAGAACAAGCCCAACTCATCTGGAAAAACCAAATTGTATAGAAATGTCTGGTAACTTTAATATGAACATTTGCTGGAAAAGCTTGACATTCTAGCCCTCAGTCTTCTGGGGAGGCTGGATGTGTCATTCCACTGCATCCACCTGGGTCACAGAACAGACATGCAGGAGCCTGAGAATGAGGGGTTAGGGCTTTATTATTATTATTTTTTAATCTTTTAAACCCATGCAGAGACCAAAACACACTCTGACACCTGCCTTTGAATCCATCACCTCCGATCGTAGAAAATAAATTTTGCCATAATGTATATCTTTGTCTTTATTCAATATTAATAGAACATGAGTTTGTGGACTTGAACTGCTGAGGTCCGTAGCTGAATTATAATGTAAATTTCATCGTATAGAGAATTATGACAGTTTAGATCTCTACATGTAATATGAAGAAAGATTCGTGTTAAGCATTTGTGCTTACCGCTGCACGGTCCAATTTTTCGTGAACATTGAATTTGCCTTCTTAATTTGTTAACAGCTAGTGTAAGTTCTAAATAGACTAGGAAGACTCAATTGCAAAATCTCCTCCCTGCTTCCAAATAATCCCAGCTCATTCATGACTTATTCAGATTTACATAAATCACTTGCAGAACTCAGTCTCTCTAGTTTAGGATTTTGTGTGTGACAGTTCTCAATTTAAAAAAGAAAAACTTTCTAAAATTAGATATTAAAATAGAGATATTGTAGAACAAAAAAATAGCCAAGATAAAAACTGTTATGCCATGTTTCAAGTTCAAATGCATAATAGGATCTCATATGGTGGAAATAATACTAACAAATAGAAACACTGAAATCCCCAGCAACCAAAAAAGCTACTACCAAAAAGCCATTAAAATATAAACAAACTCTGAAGAACATAAAACAGCACAGGGCCCATATAATGTCCTATTAAACAAAAGTAATTGCTGCAAATGCTTTTCTTTCTTAAGGGGCATGAGTTTGTTAACCTGCTTTTGTTTACATGAAATAAAATTCTGCATAGGCAAAAGGCTTGGGTCTTATTTCCATGATCTAACACGAAAGTGAGTGTAAAACTTCAAGCTGGAAAATGTTGATTCTCTCAGTAAGAAAGGGCTACTGACTCTTGAAAAGCCACAATTCATGTGCTCTTGGCAACAGCATTTCCTGATACGATTGTCTCTTAGAATAGGTTAAGAAACTGGACCATTTCATGAGAGTCTTCCAGGGAATAAATCATCATGAAGTTTGATACCCTACTTGGATGTGGAGTTTGAGAAGTGCTGATAGACAGAAGGGCTTAATTTGTTAAATTGATGTAGGCTAAATTGCTTTGTTGATGACTCAAAGATAAAAATAAATGACATGTCCCATCATTTCTTTATAAAGATTTAATTGAACCTTTCTTTTCCCCACTTGTAAAAAGGTTTACTAATAAGTCCTTACTGATGTCTCTTTGGAGGGCATCTTAAAAGAGAAGGGGGAGGTGGTTTAGCAGCCCAAATCAGTTGAGTCCTAATTCTCTCCACTGACCTGTACACCTTCCCTGTCTGTCAGAAGGTCTTACTTAATTATTCAGTGTGGTTGGGACAGAATTCGAGACCTCAGAGAGAAGACTGGGTGAAAGGTAGAGTCATTGCTGCCAAGAACTCCTCTTTTAGTCAGAAGGACATTGTCACTTTAATGATGCTATTTCGCCTTACCCTGCTGTTTCCTCCTTTTCCTTGGAAGTGGACCCTTTTTATATCATGTAGGTAATAATAGTCTCTCATGAGACAATGATAGATTCACTCTTTCCCAAAAGCATTACCAGCTGTATCATTTGGAAAAGAAAGCAAGAATTGGGCCCTTAGTTTATATTTGAAAGACAATCAATCTTTAGAAAGTGAGCCTGACATCACTTGTATGACAGTTCTTGAAACCACAAAGTGGGATAGTGGGGGCTTGGGTCTCCTAAAGGGATTGGCAGTTAACAAGGCACTGAGGCTGCGCTACTGTCACGACTGGTCTATGGCCCAAGGTCTTTTTACTTTCGTATCAGACTCTCTTCTCCCTTGAACTTACTCTTGACCCTACCTTGAGACCTGCATAGGACCAAGTGAAGACACAGAGCCCCCATGAAAGTGGCCTCACTGCCTGAGCTATGGAGGGACCCAGGAAGCCTAACAGAGCAGAGAGGCTCCCATCTCCCTGCAGGCCCAAGGGAGAGAAGGGCGTGAACTGGAGAGAAGGGCAGTAATGTGTTGCCTCTTGGAAAGTTTCTGCTCTGTGTCTGGGCTTTGCAGTGTAAAGAGTTGTTGGCTGCCTCTGGCCCCAGAGCCTGGCTCCTGTTTAATATTCTGCCTGCTCCGTTGATGTTGTGCTTGGCTCCTGTGGGACTGCAACTCACGGCTTGAAACTGGAGCCAATTTTCTGTCTTCATCTCGCAGTGTTTTGACTGGAGGCAGATCCAGTTCAGGCCGATCAGGGCTGGTGGAAACAACTACCAAGTGTCTCTCTGTCTGCTTTGCTTTGGGAGAAGAAAGTGGAGGGAGCCCCAGCATGTTGTAGAGGAACTGGCCTGCGGAAACGAGAGGAGGAGGGTGCAGGGGGCAGCGGAACAGACCAAACCTCAGAGCATCAGTCGGAATTACGGTGGAGATGTCTGCTTCCCCTGCCCTTTTCTTTTGATTGATTAGTGGATTTCATCAAAGGAGGCTCCCGGGGGATTGACTAGAAAATTGATTTTGCTTTATTAATAGAAAGGAAGCGCAAGGGTTTTGGCTTCTAAGTGGTACATTTTCTTTGGAAGGTCAGAAGGAAAATGTGTTTGGGAGGCAAAGCAGCTGTCTAGAAGAGGGCTGAGGGGAATCTGAGAACAATAAAAAATGGGATTTTAAAGATCCGCCCATGAAATGCAGATTGCCGAACACAGAGGCTGAGCTAATAGCAGCAAGAGAGTTTGCCGAGGTTTTCTTTGAAAAATAATAAAATGTCTCAGGGTGAAGGGGAGTGGCAAGAAGTAAAAGTTTCCCAAAGCAAAGAAATGAAGATGCCAAGGCCCTCCCTTGGCTGGCTCTTGATTAGGGCTATTTTCTTCATTCTTGTTTTTTTTTATTTTCTTTTCAGATCTGAGGCTGTCAGAGATGACTCTGGTTCTGTCCATGAATAGATTCTGCGAGCCCATTGTCTCGGAAGGAGCTGCTGAAATTGCTGGGTACCAAACACTATGGGAGGCTGACAGCTACGGAGGCCCAAGCCCTCCAGGGCCAGCACAGGCTCCTTTGCAGGGAGACCGGGGAGCTGGTCCCCCGCTGGCAGGTATTGCCCTTGATTCCCTCCCACCCCCGCCCCTCGCTGCCCTCTGCAGCCAGCCTGGTGGACAGGAAATGGTGTCTGGGTGCCCTTCTGAGCCAGGAGAGCTAAAGCTCCAAGGACTTACCAGGTTGCCTGTGTGCCTCTCATAAGTGAGTCCAGAGCTCCAGAGAGAGGACCAGAGGTGATATTTAAATTGCATTTAAACCTGTGTCTACCCGTGCTGCTGCTTGCATATAAGTCATGTGTCTATATTACTAAGAGGGCCAAACTAGATATTGAAACTCTGAATTTGGGTTTTGGTTTTCCACCCTGTGGAAGTGGATGGTTCTGTCACAACTATGAAAACTATGGTGGGCTCAACAATGACACCAAGGAATCTGCACTTTGGGCCAACAGCTATGTGCCTCTTTTCTTTATTAACCCATTTATGCCCAGTGTTCCATTATTGGAACGCTAAGCTTGAGGGAGATATTTATACCCTACTGCTCAAGGTCATCACTAAAGCCTGATGTTTTACACAAAAAATTTTGCAACCTCTGGCATAAATGAGTTAAGGACACAATTGTTTTAAGTTCCTTTGGATTTCTGTGCAGTACTACCTATTTTTTAAAAGAAACGAAAACATAAAACAAGTACTCAATGAAGTTTGTTTTGCTAAAAAAGATTGAAAGCTGTGGTCTTCATGGTTGACATACTACATCTTGGAGAATGAAAAGAACATTAGTTACTCAAAATTTAATTCAAAATTTAAAAATTTTGAATTTTGTATTTTGAAAAAAAGGAATGTTGTAATTCCAGTGTGCAGGTAACCAATTGTTTACTAACCTAAAGCAAATAATATTTTAAAGTTGTTTGGTTATCAGTGGTTAAAGATGTATGCATTTGAACAGTGGTGCTATGTTATCATGGATTTAATTAAACAATTTAAATAAATACTAATATATTCAGAGTAATTACACTCCTCCCCTTTATGAATGTTGCAGTTTCCTTTTGCATAAAATTAAGATTCTGTGTATTTAGTAAATGCTAAAATATGTCATTTTCCTCTGTAACTGCCTAGAAATCTTTTCCTAGCCTGGGTCATAGGATTCCGTATGATAGCAACTATTAAGACAAATGTTTATTTTTAATCACCACATGTACAGACAAATATGTAGCCAAGTTATCCTCTAGAAGGAAAGGAAACTAAAGTATTTTGTTTGGAGAACCTCTGGCAAACCACATGTCATTTGTCATATCTGATTTATTACCACAGGATCACATTACAGGGGAATTTCAAATCCTATAACAACATCCAAGATCACATACTTTAAGAGGAAGTATGTGGAAGAAGAGGATTTTCACCCACCACTCAGCAGCTGTAGCCATAAAGTATGTTTTTTTAATAGTCATTATTTTTATTAAGAATTTAAGATACTTAGTAACAGTTGCTTGATCCACTTCCAGAAATTAAATTGTTTCACCCAAGCAATGAAAATGAGCCACTTTTCAGTGGAGCCTCATTAATTGTTGTCACTTTTTTGGGTCCTGTGTTATTTTTCACAAGTACTTGAAGAAAAAGTTGGCAAGAGCTCTCCTACCCAGAAATATCAAAATTATGTAATCCAAGGATTTTTTTTTAAACGTATGTTTTAATATTCCTCAGGATGCATTTCGGGTTATGGTTCTTCCTCACTTTTGTGTCTGAGAATGCACTTGTTCTTTCCTGTCGTGTTCTCTCCAGTCTGAGTTCTGGCTCCTGCAGCCAATGCTACATCCATGTGTGTCCACGTGGGGTGGTTACGCAGGGCTTTTCCTGACTTCTTATGGGTAGACTCACCATCCTTGAATGTGTGCATACAAGTAGAAATATGCACTTCATTGGACATTGGTTACATATAAGTTTGTTGAAACATAGACTTGATTTCCAAGAAAAGACCAAAGCTAACTTTTTTTGTAGGTATAGTAAAAAAATAATAATAACAAGATGGGAATATTCTATAGAATTATGAAACTGGGCATCTAAACTTTTGAAATATCAGTTCCTTTCTCTTTAGGTAACTACCTTCATTTAATAACTACCTGCTGATTTAATTGAGGCGGGTATAACCTCAGACCATAGTTGTCTGAAATGCAGAGAGGATTTTCAATTCATCTTTCTCTCTGTCTCCTCTTGCCTTCCCCCTTTGCCACCTCATCCTTTAGATGTTGCTTTTACCTTGCTCATAGAAAGATGGCAGAATGCGTTGGTAGGCACTGGGCTTTTCCCTGCATGTGGAGTCCCTGCCTTTGGTCAGTCTGAGCTGGTTTAGTTCACTGCTCCTCAGGTTATGCTGCCAGTTTGTAGTTTTGATGACCTGGAATAATGGTCCCCAGGACACAAGCAGTTTATTTCCTTTTTAGTTTCTGTGTTGTGGTTATAGCAGTTTCCCAATTGCTACTGGATTTGCACCAACCATCACAGAGTGATAGTGTCACACAGCTCAGGAATGAGTCCTCTCATTTCCTCTCACCATCTTGTCTCCCACTCAGCTCCACAAGGAAGCCACTTTGGTTCTTCAACTGACAGATTCTGTCAAGGTCCAAGCCTCATTAATTATTGTTGTCCTTGTATCAGGCAAGGATAATTGCAAGTATGAAACCCAAAGAATTAAAAGGGGGACAGCATTAAAAGCCAAATATCATGCTCCTTGATAGCTAGACCAGGGTTTGAAGTATATTCATTACGACTTGCATCTTGGCAATGAAACATGTATTGATGTACAGTGTATTAGAAACATGTATTGATGTACAATGAGTTACATGTCCTGTGTGTGTGTGTATTTGTATACACACACATAAAAAAGTACAAGTATCACAGTACAGCTTGATGAATTTCATGAGGTGAACATACTCATGTAACTAACATCCAGGTCAAGAACCAAAACATAACCAGCAACCAGAATCTTCCTTGTGCCTGCTTCTAGCACTACCCCTCCCTCCACTCACCCCAACTCCGAAAGTACCTGCTGTTCTGATTTCTAATAGCTTAGATTAGTTTTGTGTTTTAGCATCTCCCTTACTGGGACATAATAGATCAACCACCTGACCTGTCCCTCCTGAGGTCTGCACTGTGGCTTGATTACCTAGTGCTTGACCACACCAGCGAGTCAGGAAGTGGGAGGAAGCCAACATCGGCAGAACTGGGGACAGGCTCTCTAAATGAACCCTGGGGAACAAGACCACAACATGCCCTAGCCCAGACAGTGCCAAGATAGAAGCATGCTGTGATGATATTTTTATATAGTCCATTTTCTAAGCTTTCTCTCTTCCTTTTTTTCCCCCACTTTGGTTTGTAGACCATCTCAATTTTTGAGGAACGAGCCCACATCCTTTATATGTCCTTAGAAAAGCTAAAGTTTATCGATGATCCTGAAGTGTATCTCCGAAGATCTGTCCTTATAAACAATTTGATGAAAAGGATCCATGGAGAAATTATCATGCAGAATAACTGGTGCTTCCCTGCCTGCTCTTTCAATGGCACCTCCGCCCAAGAGTGGTTTATGGCTCAGGACTGCCCTTACCGAAAACGACCACGGATGGCCAAAGAGGAATGTGACAAGTTTCATGCCTGCTGCTTTTACCAAGAATGTGGTGGCCACTACCTAAATTTGCCCCTTTCTGTCAATGCTAATGTCGGAAGTGCCTCCACTGCTGCCTCTTCTCCCTCCACCTATTCCTCCTCCTCACCCTCCTCTTCCTCTCCCTCTTTGCCTTTACCCAGTTGTTCCCACCAGGTGGATTTCGATGTAGGCAGTCCATCTGTTTACAAGAGTGATGGCCAGATACCTGCCAACGAAATCTTTGTCACTAATGTCAGATCACTTGGCGTTCAGGAAAAGGCCAAATTAAATGATGAGAAAGCAAATAATGACACCAACAGAGATGGTGGCCCCCTCAGCCATGAACCTATGGGAAATGACCTTGCTTTTGAGTGCAAGGGCCAATTTTACGATTATTTTGAGACTGGATATAATGAAAGAAACAATGTAAATGAATCTTGGAAAAAGTCCTTACGGAAAAAGGAGGCTTCACCACCAAGTAACAAACTGTGCTGCAGCAAAGGGAGTAAAATATGAGCCATCTTCTCACCGAACTTTGAAGCATGCACAGCATGATCAGTTAGCGCTCATGAATTTTATTTTGAATGGATTTTGTAGTTTTGTACAACTGATAAAATTATGCCATGAACATGCCATGTCGTTTTAATGCCTGGAGAGCAGATTGCATAAAATATCTGTATAGTAGGCATCAACGAGCTTCTTACAAATGTGGTGATTTTTACCAAGAAAACAGTTGAACTGAATGCTTAAAAGTATATCATAGTTTTCTTACAGAAAAGATCAGTAGATTAGATTAGGGGACAACGTGCCCTTGCAATATATTTCCATTGCCCCCCAAGGAGCCTGTCACTAGCTAAGAAATTTCAACATGTTTGCCAATTAATTAGGGGGTTACTTGGTAAGCAAATCAATATAACCAGCAAAGTTATCTGCTTCTATGTGATACAATATTTTTTTTAATAAAAGACTGAAAACAGGGAGCTAGATGAAATGGCTTCATGGTGCTGTTAAGTATTCGTACCTAACAGTCTTGTGTGACAGATGAAAATAGCATGTAACATAATGAAACACACCTGTCTAGGGGCGGCAATCAGCAGTCTTACACAGAGAGGGAAGTCCCTGCAAGTTCCTAGCTTGCCTGTGATGGGCGATGAGGCTTTTAGAGAGGTGTTATACAGGGCGAATTTTGGTGCCTTACTTTATCTTAATTTTTGCCCATGTGAAAATTAAGGATAAATCAGAGTTACAGCAGGGATTTAACAAACAGGAGGAAAAAAAAACACAGGGTGGATCAATATGGTTTGGAAACTCAACTTTGAACTATTGTGTTCAACTTTTGATTCGACATCTCTATTCTTCCTTTATTTTTGATGCCCAATTGCTTTTGGATTTGGCATTTTTTCAGTAGGGATGGAGGAAATGAGGGAGAGCTGTTAGCAAGCAGCACTGGCTGCTCCAGCTTTTCTCTGGCAACTGTCTGTTGCTGGGGTTTGGGTTTTCTGGGTTTTGGGTTGTTCTGTTTTGTTTTCTTGTCCAATGAAGTTCACGAACCAGTGGCATGCATTATACTTTTCTCTGTTTTGCATCATTTCACTCGTTTAGATTATAAAAGCATGTGGGTTTTTATGTATGAACTTTGCTGTTGATTAAGAAGCACAATGTTAATAAATGATGTGGTGATCAATAAGGTTTTTCTTAAAGAATGTAAAGACTTTAGTTTTTGGAAAGTTATTTTGGAGAAATGGGACTTAATCTATAATTGTTACTATGTATTCGGTCTACATTTTCCAAATAATATCTTTAATTTGTACATTTGAAAAGTGTTCAGAGTGGCTCTCCTGCCATCCTTCCTTCCACTCCAGTCAGCTCTTCCTGCTAAACTGTATTCCACTTTCCAAGTTTGCTAATTGACTTGGGCCTCTTTAAACAATACTTCACAGAAACCAAATGCCAAATGGAGGAAATAAGTGAGCCCTCCCAGCTTCTCCAAGATAAAGCTTTTTTTATTATTGCTATTAATATTAAATATAGGTCTCATTCATACAGTGTATGAGTAGGATCACTTGGACAATTGTCCACAAGGACCAATTTTTAAAACATTTTCTTGCGTTATAGCTAAATAGTCTAGTAATGTTTTGTCCTTTATTTTCAATATTTGATAAACATTTGATGTTCAAAACTTAGATAATAGATGCTTGTATATGGACGTGTTGTAATAAAGTGAGGTTCTCTTGATATATATTTATTAAAATGATAAAAATTCATTAAGTTTTTTTAAAGTTTAATGGCTATTGGCTATGTTTCTCTTTTCCATTATTCTCTCTCCTTTAAAAAACATCTAGAAACTCAAGTGGATAGTGGCCACACAGGAGTTTTCTAAATTAAAGAGTATTTTAAAATGCCAATCTGACAGGTGTTTTAGAATGATCCCAGTTTGTAAGTTTATGTTTCTGTTGATTAAGAAGCACAATGTTAATAGATGCTGTGGTGATAAATAAGGTTATGTCTGAAAAAAATGTGAAGATTTTCCCTTCTGAAGTGTCTCTGAAAAAAAATGTAAAACATGAAGCCGTAAATACTGAATCTTAGCTGATTCCATTATGAAATGTCAAATTGTAAAGATGACCCATATGTAAATGGTTATAACAGCTACAGATTATTCCTGGTAGCATTCTATACAATTCTGTATTAATGTTCTTAGAAGCTAATATTTGATTAAGGGGGAAAGCTAGTTGAAAGATAATTAATTTGTCAAATATAGCATTCTTATTGCATGGAGATTTAAATATGAATGAAAGGACTTATCCTTCTGCTTTTTAAAAGCCCCCAGCATTACTAGATAGTGTTTTTCTTGAGGGCCAAAGCTGTAAAATGACAAAATTGGTGATTTTCAGCGGCACTCACCTGAGCTGTGAGCGCCTGCACCTGTTCAGTAGAACCCACTAGAATCACTTCTCTGCAGGATAAGTGATGGCTTTGAATTCAGCAGCATAAAAATGTTCTTTTTAGTCATCAAGTTTTTGTTACCAGGATATTTCTAGCATGGCAACAAAAAAAAAAAATGTCTTCACCAAAAAATAATTTGTAAACACCCATCCAAACTACAAAAATTCTCTTGTTAGTAGGTGAGAGTGCTAGGACTTCCTGTGTTCACCTCTCTCTTTTTTTTTTTTTTTTGAGACAGAGTTTCGCTCTTGTTACCCGGCTGGAGTGCAATGGCGCGATCTCGGCTCACCGCAACCTCCGCCTCCTGGGTTCAGGCAATTCTCCTGCCTCAGCTTTCTGAGTAGCTGGGATTACAGGCACGCACCACCATGCCCAGCTAATTTTTTGTATTTTTAGTAGAGACGGGGTTTCACCATGTTGACCAGGATGGTCTCGATCTCTTGACCTCGTGATTCACCCGCCTCGGCCTCCCAAAGTTCTGGGATTACAGGCTTCAGCCACCGTGCCCGGCCCCTGTGTTCACATCTTATATACCCAACATTGTCTTCTATGCATGAGATATTCCATTAGATTTTCCTAGAGCGGCCAGGACACCCTTCATAGTAAGTTAAATCTCTTAACTGGATTCTATAGTTTTATATTGAGCAACTTGGAAAAGCTAAGACATCCTCCACCCACACTACTGTCTACCCGCCTGGAAGCAGCACCTTCTCTCATTGCTGTGCTCTGCTTTAAGGAAAACCTGATATGACAGAATCAAGACTATTAAAAGATAAATGAGGGGAAGTTTTCATTTAAGAAAGTGGCCTTGCTCCCCAAGAGTGCCTTTAATTGCTATTCCCCTAGGCATCTGGGTGCATATCATTAATGAAATCATTAACCTTTGTCTCTGATCCTGCCTTTCTAAAAATGGCAGATTATAGAATGTGGTCTGGCAGAGATTTTCAAGGGGCAAAAGTCTCAACATCATCTTTTCACTCAAAATCCTATTATTCTAAACCTCACTTTGTGGGGGTCCTAGGGACAAGATTGCAGGGACAGGGCACATGGAGGAAGAGAGAAAAATTCAAAACCAGCAGATGCCACTATCTGGCAATGAATTGAAAATTAGGGTAACATCTTCGGCATGATCTTTTATTAAGACAACAGAAATTTAGAACATTTTACGTGCTACTTTGTTAAACGGTGAAGCAGGTAAATGGAAGTACTTCTTTTTAGAGCTCATAGTTAACTCCATCAAGACATGGCTACCCATTTCTCCAATTATGAACTTGTATTACAGCTCCACTTAGTGACTTCCTTTCTGTGTATCAGGAGGAGAGCAGAGGACAACTTGTAGAAGACATGGCCACTAAGAGACATCAACTTCGAAACAACTTATAAGACAAGGATATAAGGATTCCTCTGTGGTGCAGCTAGACTTTTATATCCTTCTAACAAATTGTGAGCAGGAAATGTTTTTGGAAATAATTAGTTGTTAAATTTCATCTTTCTGACAGCCCCTTAAATTTGAAGTCATTTCATTTGTAGTTAAGGTTACCACATCCCTGCCAATTTTACTAGATCTTTTCAGAGACAAGGATTCAGCATGGCATTAGTAATGATGGTTTAAACTAGATGCAGAACTGTCCCACGAAGAGAAGAATGATATCAGTATTTAAATAATAAAAGAAGACACAATGTATGGTTTGTAGTGATTCATCTTCAAGATTGCTGTGTTTTGGTTCTGTGGTTGAAAATAAATGCATTAAGGATCTTTTAAGTTACTACAAGATGCCTGTGTTGCTTCCTTAGCTATAGTGTCTAAGCAAGGTATGTTCTCTTGACATGGGTAAAATGTTTCTATTGTATGTGATATAGCTACATGACCTGGGGTGAAACAGTTACTAGCTTGGAGATTATTTCCCAGCCCTGGGTACATGCCATATTTTAGCTGTGAGAACTCACTTAGGAAAAGCACTTGCAAATATGTAAGTTATGAACACTTGAATCTCGTATCCTGCCATAAAGTGCATCAGCAAGTGAGTTTAATAAAACATGCTGTTTAAAATAGTCTGTAATTTCCTGTTTCTGCATTTCCCTTCAGTATCTGTGACAGGCTGAAGAACGATGACTAAACGAAGGGAATTTACACAAGCTAGTCTGGTGGTGTTTGCAAACCATCACCGTGAGCTTCATCTTCTTTGGTAAACAGTCCTCTGGTGGGCTGTCTGTGGTTGGTTTTTTTCCTTGTTGTTGATCCAATTTGTTAATTTTGAAAATGCAAACTACTTATTCATAGTGTGGAAACACCTGCTTTTGTCCATGATAAAACTGATAGAAGGTATGGAGATGTATTAGTTGTTTCTCATGAAATTTCTTTTTTTTTTTTTGAGATGGAGTCTTGCTGTGCTACCCAGGCTGGAGTGCAGTGGTGAAGTCTTGGCTTACTGCAACCTCTGCCTTCGAGGTTCAAGCAATTCTCCTCCTCAGCCTCCCAAGTAGCCAGGAGCACAGGTGCCTGCCACCACACCTGGTAATTATTTGTATTTTTAGTAGAGATGAGGTTTCACTATGTTGGCCAGGCTGATCTTAAACTCCTGACCTCGTGATCCCCCACCTCTGCCTCTCAAAGTGCTGGGAGCTGCACCTGGCCACAGATAGAAATTTCTCATATTTCTCAACCCCTGTGGGGAGAACCTGCATATGAAAGAACTTGCAGAGATATAAGTTATGATCTTGGTTTCTGCCAACGTCTCCAGAACAACAGACAAATATCTGAACTTTGGGGGAAAGTACCTTAGGTACCCTACAGTCCTAATCCTACAGTCTTGTGCTGCCCAAAGCAGCCTGGTCTTCGGCAGGCATTGCCTCTATCCAGATCTGTCCGTGGAAGCAGCTGAGTCCAGGCATCAGGCATGTGATTCTCCACTGCTTCCTCTGGTCAGCATACACATGAACCCATCTTTGATGCTTCTAGACACAGTGGTTTTCTTCAGATACCTTCTAAGACGACCAATGAACTAAGCTCAGACGTGGTAAGAACCTGGTGTCTTCTCAATCAAGAGATGAGTTGATCTCTCTGAAATACACTTGGCATAGCACTCAGACATCTATACCATTTTCAAAACTCAAAACACACCTGTGTGCACAATAAGGAAAAGATAGAGAATGACAGGCTATGCAAGGGATTTTGGCAAAAGGTTGGAGGGTTGACCTCTGATCCAGTACAGTGAAGGAAGTCTGAGAAATATGGTGCTCCTGTACGCTGCAGAGTGAATCCACTCTCTTTAAGGAAAAGTCTGAAGACTGCAGAGGAAAGAAGACAGAATTTTTTGTTTTTTTGTCAAACCTCTTTAGGAAAAAACATTTCAGGGACTAAAGGATTTTTTTAAACTTTTTTTACAGGAAGAGAGAAATGGCTCATCTGCCTTTTCTGGAGCTGGGAGGGGTTCTCCTTGTTCTCCATGTCCTTAGATGCTATGCTTTTCAATAAACCCACCAAACTGTATTTGTGAATGGGGATAGTCATCAGCCCAAGGAATCTCTCTCCTGTTCAGTTTAGGCACAGAGGTTGTGGGTTTCTCACAAGACTGGAGTACAGCCAAGGGTTAAGAGTAGGGGTTTGGAGTTAGACTGCCTGGATGAAAATCTCAGCTCTGCTAGGGTGGCTGTGCGACCTGGGCCTTGGCCAACAGGCCACTTTACCTCCTAGATCCTTGGTTTACTCATCTGTAAAATGGAGTAGCACACATTATCCACCTCATAAGTTTGTCAGGATGAAAGGTTTTAATATCAGGGAAATGACTCAACATTGCCTGGGTGTACATTATGGGTTTGCAATGATTGAGCCTCCAAGACTTCTCCATCACTGTCCTAAACACCCTGCAGGTGGAACCCAACAGTGCCAGATCCTCCTTTCCGTGGAAAGTATTCAGCCTCTTTGGTTCTGTACAGCAAGCTTGAAGTTAAACAGGGGGATGGTATGAAACCTGGAGTCCCAGGGCCCTTAGCTATGAAAGTAGTCATTGGTGTCCTTGAGGTATGTTTAGTATTTAAAATACCTTATTGCAAAACCATAAAATTTTCTGAAAGTGGTTGCACAGGCTAACCCCACATCAAATTTCCTTACCTTTGGCTGGAATTAAATCAGCTCCAGGCTATCACAAACGAAGAAGAAACTCTGACTGGGAAAACGAAGCCATTATTCTTAATAACTACAATTTGTTTCTCAGACAGAATCTTTCAGAACATTGGCTATGTGAAGGGAATAAGAGGTGTCCCTTACAAATGGAAAGATTAAAAACCACTAACCTCTGACTCATCTTCAGGATTTGCC